GACTGTATTTGTGTGGCAATCAATGAGAGAGAGAAAGTTGGGGGCAAGTGATGGACACACAAATGTCTTACCGCGCGTTCAACGGTCTGTTTGACTTGTTTGGCGGTCGCGGTCACAGTCTGTCGGGCTTTACTCGCGGCGCTGAATATGAAACCTAAGTCGGGAGACAAACACACACTTCCATTACTAAGAGATCGTCACTCAAAACACTTCCCATTAAATCAATTTACTTCCGAAATATTTGGCCGATTCGACGGCCTTTTGGGTGTAATCAGAACCGATGGGCTTCTCATCGGTGGCCGTCTTGTTATTGTCGGTCTGCTTCTGCTCGTCGGCGGCGATCACGTCATCGGCGGTGATCTGTTGGTCGTCGTCGGGTCCGGACGTGTCGCCAGAGCTCGAGCGTCGGATGTGCTGACCGACAGCCGTGTCGTTCTCTGCGGAGGAGAGGAATGGTATCAATGGATAAGTGGTGGTCAACAGTGGATATATCATTAAACAGGTGTATGTGTTGTCTTCGGTGGACAACAATGACAACAACTCAAGACATTAAGATAATGTGATGACAAATGGGATGATATGATAATTACTTAAGACGTGATCCGTAGACATGGCTTGTGTTGAATAGCGAGACCTAATTGGGTGATGAAAAACAAGACAAACACTATTGTTGTTGAATACAAATGTCTATTGTTTTCGATGCGAAACAACAAAAACAACACAACAAAACACTTTTGGATTAACTGCTAATGTCTTCGGGATTTAATCCACACAATCACTGGCTTTAATCCGCGGATCAATCGGTGGTCACAATCGGCGGTAATATAGCGATGACTTTTGGGGGCGAAAACGATTGGCAACTGATTTGGTTTTGTTATCAATGAATGACTGAATGAGTTGTCTCTCAAACTCTATCCCAAAAATGTATGCAATGTTTGTAAACAATATTCAATACAACTCTTATTACAGTCTCTCTGAACGCAGTGTTAGTGTTCACTGCCTTTCAATGCATACTTCGCTTCACTCCCAGCACTCACTCTCTGTATATGACAGACAGACTCCCAATCGCTATATTGAATAACACACAGACTTTACAGGCCTTACACTACAAGTGCCTGTTGTATGGCTGAGAGGGGGAGAGGGGGGCTGTTTGGGGGCTAACCGTATACGCAATCTGTGTTACAATTTTGTTTAACCATAAGCCGCCACCACTTCGCCCTCGGTATACAATTAGCGTTATAATGAATGCCACTGTTATCCCACTTTATATATACCTTTCTCTCTCTCCTTAACTCTTATATAACTGTATTTTTGTGCTGTGTTTGAGAGCACAGGTGTGTGCGCACAGGCACTCAATCACTGCTCTGTATTACTGTAAATGCAATGTATTCTTGAGGTATTCTTGTGTTAAGAATCTGCAGAATATTCTTGTATTCTGTAGAGAGAGAAAGAGAGAGAGAGAGAG